CAAGGATTCGGGCGACAAGGGCAGTCACAGGAAATATTCCACCCTCATCTCGAAAATCAACGTTTACGATGATTTCAAGGGTATCCTGAGCGTCGATCTATTGAAGGATATCGTGGCCAAGTCTGAAAACAATTATCAAGATAAAATAATGAACAAGATCAGCCTGTTGAACACGAACTTGTTCAACGTGCCGAGTTCGTATTACGCCGAAAACTTGCGAACGTGATCTCCTCTTAATTTTTTATTATTGTTATTATTATTATTATTATCTTAATTTCATTTATTTTTAGTAGTTTCAATCCCGAGTATCGAGTTATTTGAAGATTTGATTTGAGGATGATTTTCGCCAGAATATATATATATAATATATATATATATATATATTTTTTCTTTTTTTTTTCTTTTATGGCGCGAGCGTTTTGAGCTTATATATCGTACAATTAGGAACGGGAAAATTTATGAAATTTATCGGAATATCGGAACGTGTTTATTTTTTTAATCGTTTTATTTTTCCATTCTATTCCGAAGTTTCGAATATCGCGGAAAAATTCACGGAAATCATTAGGGATAGATATTTTTAACCGTTTGTCTCTGAACATCTCGATTGGATACAATTGATATTTTTATGTTATTATGATGATATGTGAATCGTTTGTTGAATAAATGTGTTTCTTCAAGTTCAATTTTCCTCTTCTCTTTTCCCTTTTTTAACCCCTCTTTTCTATTCTATCCACCACTACCCGCGCGCATCCCTTTCTTTCTGCGATAATACAGTTAGAAAATAGCAGAAAAGAAAAGAAAAGAAAAGAAAAGAAAAAATCCATCTCTGTGTTTTTAATTTTAATTCCAGCTGAAGGCTACGCCAGAAACCCTGATCAGGCAACAGCATCGTATCGAAATCGACGTAAGTTCCTATAAAAATAAATTTTCAGATTACAATTACAGTTAAACTTAAACGAACTTTATCAATCGCCTCTCTCGATAATCGATCGCGATTACCCCCGATCACGATAATCGATCGAGCAGCGCGTGAAATCGTTACTCGTCGCTATGGCTCCACCTCCCTTCTGCCTCTTCCTCATCTCCAAAATTTTACCGT